ATAAATTCCCGAGTAAGACAAAACTACTCGGTAAATTCGGAATCACTATGACCATTTGCCGATGAAATCGGGATAAGGTAAATAGATCAGGTAATCAATATAAACTTTTGTCATCGACGAGGGACAGGATAGACTGGAGATCCAATGTAAATTTTTGTCACGCTGCCGAAGGTTACGTGCCAATGTGAAAAGAGCTTTAGGTCGGTAAAGCAGTCGATTTATGCCACGGAAGTCCATAGGGTATTATACCTTCTTAGGTATAGTTCATAGTTCTATCTCAAATTCAAATGTTCAAGAAATTAAAATGTTTTTGTTTAATGCAGAGTTTTCAATGAATGTTATACCAGAATATTGTAAATAAAAGAATTCTTTTATTTAAATAGCTGCTTCATTTCGAATTCTTCACACAGGGTAGAAAATTATTTCGTGTAACGTTGGAACTTCCGTTGTTGGTGGTTTTTTAGGAACCTTTTTTGAATCACCAACATAGTCTAAAATTATTGACAAAACAGTAAAAGCATTTAGAAGAATCTACACATAATTTAAAAACGTACAGGATTTCCTTCTTTGCAAACTGAGGTAAGATGAAAATCAAAAGCGATGAAATTGCACTAGAGTTCAGATATGTAACGATCTGCCAATAGAAGCGTTCGAAAGGTCAAGAGCGCGGTCAACGATGAGTCAGGAATTTGATTCACGCGTTGCTACTGGTGGATTTTTTATTATTAATAATTTGAAATCAATTTAGCCCAGTTTCATCATTTTTTATTTTAGTTTTGTTTCGATACCTAAAATCACCCCCCAAAACATCTGCCACGTATGGCCGAATTGTTTGTATATTCGCACCAGTTTTATTCGACAATATCGATCGAATATGGCGAACCCATACAAAATTTTGGTATTACATAATCTCGCCGTTTCAAGCCACGAGGGGCGTTGCATAAAGCACAGCGCCGCCACATTCGTTTACTCATACTACTGATATTCGAATAAGGCGCTTTCAAACAGGCAAAATCAATTACATTTACTAAATTTTACACGGAAAACAGGACCATAGTACACAGAACAACAGTAAAATTAACAAAACAACATTCTTCTTAAAGTCATCAGTACATTTTCAAACAATTATATAGATACATAATCAACAACAATCAAACAATTTGCTCTCTTTCCCGCAGAGTAACAGATTCACACTTCTCCAAACTCCAAAGTCTTTAAAACATCCAATCTTAACACCAACAAAAACGACAAAACAAACCCGCTCCCTTGAATTACCTTCTCCTTAAATTACCTTCTCAACCCTTCAACGAAGTTCAATCTCAAGCGATCCAATAACCTCAAGAATCAAGAGCAACATTCTCCCTCGCGAATCGCCTCGAAGCCGATCGATCGCAACAGTTCGAACATCCGCCTTTCAAATTTGAATTTTCTCGTTAACCAGCCGGGGCCGTAGATCCCGACACCTATGCGTCGGGTAGGTAGCATCCAGTCGGGCCGCGCAAGCGCGCTTCGTCGGAATCGAAGTAGTTGGCATGTGGTTTACCGGAAACGCCGCTCGACGGCGTTCCGATCGTTCCTCGGGGGAGGGATCGCAGTACTACTCTTCTCTCCTTTTTTCTCGTTATCCGTTCTCTTCCTATTTAGGGGACGGTTGACGCGCGGGGCGGGATGAACGGGGGGCGGGTATGGCCCGTGGCTGTCACGACGGAGGCGTATCAGTGTGAGGCCGGCTATCAGCCGCCTAACATCGAGGTCGGGGTTACGCTTGTACACGTAACACGACTGCCGCAGGCACCCACACGTTCTCCGTACACCCACACATACGAAGAGCCACGCACACGTCATACATACGAGCGCAAACGCAAACACACATGCACACATACAGACTCAAATACGATTCGCGACAGACGTGCCACGGATTCTCACGGATCGTATCCGTCCCTCTCTTTCTCTTCAACTGACAGACATACACGTATCTCCTCTTTCTTTCTCTCGTTTTCTTCGCACTCTGTCACTCACTCACTCACTTTCTCTTTCTCGTTCTGCGTGTTCGGTGACGAGAGCGCGTCAGTCATCCAACTGTTACTTGTTCACGCGGTGAATCCTTTCTGGGCATCGAGGCGGGCGGGCGGGCGGGCAGCCTTTGCTCCATGCAGTATGCGTCGTAATCGATAAGGACGAGAGGAAAGGAGAGATAGAGAGAAAGAGAGAGAGAGAGAGAGAAAGAGAGAGAGAGAGAGAGAGAGAGAGAGAAGCGACGAAGGATGAAGAGTCGTAGAGTCCGCGTGTAACGGGATGGTCTCGTAGGAAAAGGCGTCGCGCCTTACGAACTGTTGTCGAAATGAATGAAAACCGCGAGAGGGATTCGACGGGAATGCCAGGAAGATAGACTGGGGGTAGCTGCGTAGGACGCAGATGGAAATATAGAAAGGGAGACAGAGAGTGGGAGAGAATGAGAGAGACAGACAGGGATAGAAGGGGGTAGTGTGCGTGTGCTGTGCGTACGGGGGAGGACGATTGGGCAATGTGGACGAGAGTGTGGGATCGGCGTGTATCCGTGTGTATGAACATACGTGTGCCAGAGGTGGAGAGAAAGACGGATTGAAAGGGTCGGAGGGAAAAAAGGAATCTCAAGGAGAAAGAGAAACCGTGGCTTCCGTGGAACAAGGACGGAAATGATCGTGCGCGTTCGTGTGTCCTCCCGGCGATAGAAAAGGGACCGTACACCCCCGCAGCAGCTGATGTACGGGGGTAGCTTTCTTCTTCGTTCGACAGTCGCTCGGAGGAATCGTTGAAACGCGCACAAGGTTTCCCGTGGGACGACACGACACGGCTAGGATAAAAAACGCGGACAGGCGAAAGTGGTCGGCACACACGCGCGCGCCGGGGAAACGAGC